GAGCTGAATGCATGTCCTTACTTTTCCATTTGACCCAAGGTCAAGGTGAAAGGTCAAGGTCAAAGTTCAAGGTCATTTGGTAAATTGCCATATTTTACACATATATAAGGAATTTCTAATGTTTTTAAATGACCTTGACCTTTGACCTTGACCTATATTTCAAGGTCAAAGGTCGAACATGCCCATGCAGTTGATCCCATGTCTCTAGGATACACCGTTTAAAAAAAAAGTTCATTAAATGTAAGCAGCGTAAACTTTCAGGGGCAGTAACTCATACAAGGGACCAAAGAATGCTTTCGCAATGATAGAATGAAGAGAGTACTGAATGAGTCGAAGACACTGATGAAGGTTTGGAATCTCTACGGTTTACGGTTTCGGAGGAGTAGCGATAACAAGGTTTTGTTGCACAAGGGGTGACAACTTTTGAATGGGTCAAGCTCGGGGGACAAGAATGAAATCTTTGAAATAGTTTTAGAAGGACATATTATAGATGCAAAGATATTCAGTATATGTTGAAAGACAAAAGAGATATTAAAAAAGCTAATTTTCTCATATTTTGAATGACCTTGACCTTTGACCTCTATATAAATTTCAAGGTCAAAGGTCACACATGCCAATGCTATTGGTCCCATGTCTCTACGATTAATCATTTAGAAAAAAATTAATTATTCGTAACCATCAAAAACTTTCAGGGGCAATAACTAATTAAAGGGGTTTATGCAACCTTTCGCACTGAATAGATTGAAGAGTCTACTAAATTAGTCAAAGACATTAGTGAAGGTTTCGTATCTCTACGGTTTAGGGTTTCGAAGGAGTAGCGATAACAAGCTTTTATTGCGAAAGGGGTTGTAACTCCTTGAGGGGTCAAAGTTCATATACGCAGGGTCAACTGTAAAAATCTTTTGCGAAGTGCATTCTTATGAACCATAAATCTTTTCGATAACTTTTAAAACAAAAAACCATTCGGCGGAAAAATAATAAAAATAATAATAATAATAATAATAATAAACAGAACAATTTCAATAGGTCTTTCCACAGAAAGGTGGAAAGACCTAATTAAATACCTTGTCTGAAAGAAAACATCCTCATCAACAAATCCAAAGTTGTCATGTAGTTTGGTGATGGTGCCTGTAAATACTCGTTGTTTTGGCTGATTGGCTGGAACAGCAGCTGCTCTGGGGGCTGGGTAACTGACTGTGGCTACCTGTGTGGTTGCCAAAGTTGTTGGAATGGCAATACCTGGCTGTGGAATGACTTGTGCTTGCTGCTGGAGTGCAGCTGCTGCTTGTTGCTTTAAATGTAACAATTTTTATTCTGAATTTTGCTAAAAGTAAAAATATTACTGGCCAAATATATTAATAAAATTTATACCTAACCACTTTTTTTTAAAAATCTAACCTGTGCTTGTAACCCTAGCAGCTGCTGTGCTGTGTACTGTTGGGGGTTTACCACATTCTGGCCTGCACTGGACATACCATGATAGATGGGCTGGACCTGCTGCTGCTGCATCAGTGGGGTAGCAACTTGAGACTGGGGCATATTGTTTATGGATGATGACGCACTAACAGTCGTGAAGTCTGTAACTATCAAAAATTAAAATATTTTTGATAACTATGATTTACTTCTGTGTGTTCATTTCTCTTATTTGATTAAAGTCAGTGTCATACATTTCAGACAGTCTGGATCAGTTCTATATGATGACTGAGTAAAAAAACACGTACATAAAATTAAGTTTCAGCAAATGCTGTGTTGCTTATCTGCTACCTTCTTAGTCGTTGTTCTGTATATTTTGAACATAACACAAGAAAATCAGCTGATCTACCTTAATCTACAAAAAGGAGGGAAAGAAAATCCTTTTACCTGCTTGGGGCCTTGCCCATGGTGGGTTTTTCGTCCCACTGAACTGCGACATTGATTTCTAACGGAAAAAGGGTATAAAATAAGAAATAATATATATGTAATATCAAAGCTCCCTGTTTAACAGTTTAATAATTTTTTGTTCGGTTTTTAAATCTGCACAAATAGAAACGTGGTCGTCACAGGTACAGGCTAATTTAAGCTCTCCACGTGATAAACAAACGATTTGTAGCAAATTATTTACATCCTTTTCATAATTCTGCAATGAATCATTGCAAAACTGCAAAACAGAAAAGCATAAAAACAATAAATAAGCATAGATTTTTTTTAACTTACAAAAGCAGAACTGTTCTTATAAATTTTCCGATTTATTTTTTTCAAAACGAAGTAACATTTATTAACTCGTACCACGATTTACTTTGGTAGCTAAATAATATGATGCACCCCTTCAATGTTTTTGACATGGTTTTGCTATCAACAAAAAAAAATCTTGTTATGATAAATTCGAATTCTTGACACCAACAAATAATATTTTTATGTCAAAAATAATTTTTGATATCAAGGATTAAAAAATATTGATTTCAAAAATTTGTTTTCTGATATTTGAAAATGATTTCATATCATCTGATTGAAAATCCTTGATATAAGAAGTTAACATAGATTTTTCATATGAAAGTACATCGAGATATCTGAGAATTAAAGATTAAATGAGGGTTAAATATTTGGTTGGGCCTTCCAGATCAGTAAGACATATCCAATAGTATTTGAGATAATTTATTCATTGTTCGTATACATATAATTTAATTTTGGTTGTAACGCATCATTTTATTGGATAAAAAAGCTAGAATAAATCGTATAACCTGGGTTGCCTATGTCACAATTACTTACGTCAAAAACATATCAATCCGCTTGACGTTACATTTAAAATACGTACAAATTTTTTAAAGGCATTTTCGAAGGAGAAATTGTCTTATTTTTTACACTTAATGATGGAAAATCAAATTATAAGGAATGAATTTAATAGGTACCCAAGTTATACTGGTATAACCTGGGTTAGAACAGTTTACGCTTTTTTATAAACCGCTTCACGGTTTATAAAGTGTAAACTGCCCCAACCCAGGTTATACCAGTATAACTTGGGTAGCTATTAAATTCATTCCTTATTAAATAAATATATAATTTAAGTCAGTAGAATAGTGGGCATCCTCCTTCATTGTATGAAGACATATATACGAAAATTGTGATATTTATAAGAAGATATTTCAGGTTTGCAAAAAAATTATTTCAGAAAAGAAGCATGGCCATTCCAAGTCTTTTCTATGTTTGGCGTTGCATGCACCTTGTCTTTTGACACCCCATCTATCAGAAAAAACAAACAAAATCAGGAGTCCTGAAATTGATTATATTCTGATTATAATCTTAATTTGAATTCAATGTAAATTTCTCTAATTATATGTCTACAATATTTCATCATTTAATACATGTATTGATTTCACTAAAGAATACCGATAGATCTTTCTATGAGAAAGATAAATTAATGAAATCAAATCCTTTGAATGACATCACTTTTATGATTATAATTAAAGTCCGAGTTTTATTTTTTGGCTTGTGTTTTTTTTTTTTTGCAAGTAAGTAGGTAGGTTTTTGAATGAAGGATGTATGCTTAACTGAGAAATAGGTTGGAATGTGGCTTCTTTATGTTCTTTTAAAAAAAAATGATATTTGCTTAAACATGGGTTAAATATATATGAATGTGATAAATCAGGAAAGAATATGTTTAAAGGAGAACAGTTCTGGAAACATGATGTCATTGTCATTTATTTGTTATGTACATTTCTAAGTTTTGATAAATTAACAGAAAAAGCCTCAAGAAGACTCATTTAAGGGGTTAATTAATTAAAAAAAAGCATCCACAGCCATCCCTCACTATAATTTTCAGATATGTTGTGTAAAAATCATTTGAGAAATCATACTCCTTAAAATGTATGTGGTCTAAATTATCTGAAAGAAAATTCCAATGAAAATTACCATCTTCTGCAAATCAGAAAAATGCACACAAGTTCATGACATCACAATTATTGGTATTTAGGACTGTCATATGAGAAAAACAATTTTATGATCTTCCTGCATTGCAAAGAATTGGTAAAATTCAGAAAGAACAAGTTTAAATTAATTCTCACGACAATGTCACATACTTTTAAAAAATACAATGCCAGATTTTTATTAAAACCGTACCTTAATCTTATCATACTAAACTTATCTAGATACATATATATACTGGTATGTCAAAATAGAATAGGGTCTGATGATACATTCCTCGAATACCTAATTTTGTATCTCTGTAACATTGATAACAAATGTATATATAATTATTATTATCTTGTGATTTCAACAAACTGTTTTCAAAATGTCTCAAAAGATACAAACACCAAAAGTTGTGATATCAACAATTCAAGTGATATCCAATAGGATTATAAAGGAATTAGCATCACAGGTGTCTTGCACAAATGGCTGGTAATTCAATCACAAGTTCTTGGGAGAAATTGTGTATTACTGAGCACTGTTTTGTCTGACCATAACATGCAATATATGAGCATGTTGGTAAACAAAGATTTTAGAAATATTTATTATCAGTAGACCAAATGTATACCCATGAGGTACAACATATTAGACAAACTTGCTCGAAGCACGTTTTTGTGTTGTGTGAAATCTGTAACTTAACTGAATAAACTAGGGCTAGCAAGAATGCCATTTGCCAAATTGAATGTTAATCTACTTTAAAATTTCCCTTTTTCTCCAATTCAATCAGAAATTTTTTTAGTACTAAAAAACATTAGACGCACCATAACTTTGGCTAGGAAGGAAAGTAAAACTATTCTGCCAAGTTATAATTTTTTCTCCTTCTATACAAAATACTATAGACCATATCACACTAATACATGTGAATTGAATCCATTGGTATGAGAAAACTTCTTTGACACAGAATGAAATTGACTTCTTAAAAATTCTAGTGTACAGCAATAAAAAGAGGACACAAAAGTTAAACAATGGAAACCAAGTCTTGTTTTATTACAATAACACCATTATTAATCATCAAAGAATTACATTTTTTTAAAATTAAAGATGCACCGACAAATAAATTATTCAACAAAAAAAACTCAGACAAGAGCCATCCTGGTCTTAAAGACCTTCATAAGTTTTAGTTAACTGTCCTCTGGGCATTCGACTCTTTGGTCTGGTTTTGACCTGAGGTACCATTCTACCCATGCTCCATCATATACAGGTACAGTCTTTCCCAGGGTGGATGCTGCAAATGACAGAACACAAGCAGACACACCTAGAAAGCAAAATTTAAAAAAAAGAATGGGTGTAATTTGCATTCTGCTCTCAAGAATTTTTGTTTAAATTTCAAGCATAAAGTACCCAAACAATGAACAAGAATTAAAATGTCAATTTTCTGTACATGCATAGTTTTATGGTACCTTTGTTTCATAAATATTAAACTCTAACTTTAAAATTTTTAAAAACTTAAACACAAATATGAAATTATTAATCATTAAGAGCATTTATAATGAACAGCTGATGAAATCAAGAATGCCAGTTCATATCATCCATATGGTAAAGAATGAAAGAGACTTGTTGAAGGTTTGTGGTATTGTTACTTTGCTGTTCCTGGGAAAAAGATTTTTAGAGATTTTTCATATGTGTTCCTATGTAAAACTTTGATTGCCCATTGTGGACCCACCCTACACCCTACCCCTGAGGGTCATGATTTGAACAACATGATTCTACACCACCATTACTCCAGCATGCTAGAGGTTCACGGCGAGATACTTTTGACTTGGCGCCGTGTAAGGAGCGTAGGGACGTTAACCGAGGCTCTTACTTGTAGGAGTACACCACCATAGGCACTTGGTTTCAGGAAGAGTGTTTTTATATACAGTAATATGATATTTTTAAAACATGCAAATTTCAGCGATTTTTTATTTTTATTTTAATGAGTGTATTCGAAAAACTCATAATGCACAAAATACATCCTCCTGAAACCAAGCGCCTATGTACTCTACCTGAGGATGTTTAGAACTATTCAAATATGACTGACCATGGCTTTACTGTTTTTGAGAAGAAGGTTTTAAAAGAATTTTCCTGTAAATACCCAAGTAAAACTTTGTTCACCCATTGTGGCCCCACCCTGTCCTGGGAGGGATGATTTAAAAACTTGAATCTACACTACCTGAAAATGTTTCCATAAAGATATGACTATTAAACATGACTTTGCTGTTCCCCGGAAAAAGATTTTTAAAGATGTTTCTTTTCTTTCCTATGTACTGGTAATACTTTGATTACCCATTTTGGCCCCGCCCTGCCCCAGGAGGTCATGATTTGAACAAATCTGAATCTACACTACATGTGGATGTTTCTATATAATTATGAATATGACTGATCATTGCTTTGCTGTTCTTGAGAAGAAGATTTTAAAAGATTTTTTTCTATATACACCCATGTTAAACTTTAAATGTCCATAGTGGCCCTATCTACCCCCGAATACTTGAACAAACTTTATTCTACACTATCTGAGGATGTTTCCATAGAAAAATGACTGAACACAGCTTTCCTCCTCTTAAGAAGATTTTTAAAGATTTTTCCTATATATGCCCATGCAAAAAAAATTTCTCCCATAGCAGCCCCACCCTATCCAAAGGGTCATGATTTGAAAAAAAAAAAAAAAAAACTTGAATCTATACACTATGTCAAGAAGCTTTCATATAAGTTTCATCTTTTCTGTCCCAGTGGTTCTTGAAATGAAGATTTTTAAATTTCCTCACCCAATTTTTACTTTTTTTAATTATGTCCTCTTGGAAGAGGGTATGGTCCTTCACTTGACAAACCTGAATCCCTTTTACCAAAGGATACTCTGTGCCAAATCTGGTTGAAATTGGCCCAGTGGTTCTTGAGAAGAAGATGAAATTGTAAAAAAAAAAAAAGTTTACGACCCAGATGGCAACAACAACAGACCGGACAAATTTTGATCAGAAAAGTTCACTTGAGCCTTCGGCTCAGGCGTGCTAAAAAAGAATCGACTTCAACCTTTAAATTTTGGTCTAAAATTCTTTTATGATATTGGGAGTAAGGATATATGATTTCATTGCAAAAGTCAAAGAATACTACAGTTATCATCTGGAGACTACTTTATGCACTATATGAATTTTCAACCTTGATCTTTGACCTTTTGACCTCAAAATCAATAGGGATTTTCCTTAAGGGGGTTCGATCCTGAGCTTTTGAGCAGATTTTGGTCTGAAACCTTTATTTCTAAAATTCTGCATCATTTTTAAGTTCTAACATTAAATCTGGATTCTACAATGCAAATTAAACTATATTCAAAGCAAAAACCGCCATTAAATGCCATTCAAATAGGATTAAGTCAGGGACTATATTTTGTGGCGGAAGGTTTTTTTAGAAGAAAATGATCAATTTTTTCCTTTTGAAATATATACAGTACTGTTAAGTTTAGATTCCTATTTTTCCATGCTGGTTGCAAACAGAGCTGTTTTTTGCTGTGAAATGTTTTATTCTGGTTCTGAAATATCTATCAAATTATTTCTTTTGAATTCTTTCATTATTTTGTGACAAATATAGTTAATATATTCTGAAAGTCCAGGAAAAAATTGAGCCAATTTTAACATAAAATTAACACATTTTTAGTAATATCTAAAAATTTACATCATAGACCCCCACTTTTGTTTTCCTTTTCTTAATATATAAGATAACTTTGATCAATCTGCTTAAATTCAGCAAAAGTTTAAGACTTTAAAATAATTTTCTTGCTTGTTAAATTTTTAATGCCAGAAAAATCACATTTTGTGAGTGCAGAAAGGTCAAATAATTGATTATGCGAAGCAATTTGAAAATTTTACTTAGTCACAATTTTAATGAGTCTTTTTTTAAATAGACTAATAGTTTATTTTGCCCCATGATTTATTTGGATAAAAACATTGGGGGAAAAACGTCAAAGATGTGATTTCTGATTAAGACACTAATTTCAGTGCAAAAAGGTCATATTTAATGTACTGCAGCGCAGAAAGAAGAATATTGACCCCCATTTTTTGTTTTGATTTTTAATTAAGCTATGTGCGTGGAAACTAAAAATATACTTGACAAAAAAAGTTTAAGACTTTAAATATCAGGATCCAACCTCGTTAAAGTAATAGGAAATAAGGATAATAAATTTCATTGCAAAATCTCAAAGAGGACAAAAGTTATCATCTGGAAACTACTTTATGCAATATATGAATTTTTAACTTTGATCTTTGACCTTTTGACCTCAAAATCAATAGGGATCTTTGTTTAAGTAATAGGGAGTAAGGATATCAAATTTCATTACAAAAGCTGAAAAAGAACTTCATCAAATTATCATCTGGATTGAGACAATGAGTGGAAACTACTTTATGCAATATATAATTTTCTGACCTTGACATTTGACTTCAACTATTTTGTTGATTTAAAAATTTCACTACAAAGGCTATAGGACTTTGAAATATTGTTCAGAAACTTATAAGTATTACTTTCAGACAAAATGACAGTTAGAAGGTCAGACTGAAAGATGGACAGACCCAAATTTATATCCCCCACTTTTAACAAAAGTGGGAGGCTATAAAGATCTCATTATTTGACTCAGATATAACATGCCAAGTGACTTTCAAGGCCCAAGGGTTTTTTTGATTATAAAGCTTACCTGAGCCACATGAAGCCACAATAGGTTGATTCAGGTCTATTGCAGTCTTCACAAACATTTCCTCTAGCTCTTCAGGAGATTTCATGGTCCCTGCATTCTTATCCACAACTTCTCCATAAGGAATATTTTTGGCAAGAGGAATGTGCCCTGGTTTAATCCCTAAACAATATATTCCACAATTTTTCACAATGTTTACTCATTTTGTTTAATCAATACATTTATATTATTAAATCAGCTTATCCATACAACTCAAAGAGGCATAAAGGCGATAAAGCATCAATAATCTACATTCCTGCAGCTTTAAAAGCAAAAATTTTATTATTTTTTGTCAGTCTCTATGTATAATGATTGTATAACTGCAGTGGTAGTTTAATCTCTAATAAATATCTAAATTACCAGGTCTTGGTTCTGGGCCTGTTCCATGAAATCTATCAGCACTCCTAGCATCAATGACTTGGAAAATCTTTGAGTTTAGATTATTTTCAACATCTTCAAAACTCTTCACTATATCTGAGTTAAACATTGGATTAAAGGTTTCTGACTTCACATTTTCTATTATGTTAGTTGTTGGAAATCCATCTTCACACCATTTCTTAAAGCCTCCATTTAAAACTGAAACTTTTTGGTGTCCGAAGACATGAAACATCCACCAAGCTCTTGGTGCTGAGAAAAAACCATAACTGTCTGAAGCATCATAAACAATGACATGTGTGTCATTGCTTATTCCTAGTTTACCCACATATGCTGCAAACTCCTGTGGTTTTGGTAACATATGCTCATATTTTGAAGTATTGTCACAGCAGTCTGAAATGCTGAAAAACTGAGCACCAGGAATATGTTTCTGTTTAAATTCTTCATAAGCATCTCTCTTGGCTTTTGGTAGATAATAAGATGAATCTAGTATTCTGAGTTTGGAGGGAGTTTTTGAGATGCAGTCGGAAAGCCATTTTGTAGAAACTAGAGACTTGAAACTCATTTTGCAAATAGTACTCTGGTTACTGGACTTCTGGATCAATTGATTCAGCTAGTTGCTGTGTGATGACTTTGAGTGAAATCTCTTTCTAACCAGTTTTGTGATGAATTGGGAGATCTCTGTCTAGACAGCCTGTTGAAAGTAAGACATTCAAATCACAGGGGCTTGCTCCCAGCTAGCAATAATTATTTATTGAAAAAAATCATACACAAATACTGTGTTGTTTAAGTATTCTGTATAAGTTTTTTTAAAATAAATTATTATTACAAGCCAGCAAGTCCCTGTGTTCAAATCAAGTATGAAAGATACAGGGCTCGACATTAACTTTTTTTCCTACTTGTCCATTCGGACAAGTGACCAAGACATTTACTTCTCCGAACTTCAACTTCACTTGTCCGAAAATTTTTCAATAAAGATCTAATACTGTTAACTGAAAAACTAAAAATAAAGTCCATTACATGTGCATGATGTTATTTACAAATACAACAAACACATATAACAAAATTTTATCTAGACTTTCTGTCCTGACAACATATATGCTGTCAACATAAAACAGAATCCAAACTTCGTCAGTTCCATGCCTTTGCAGTAGTATGCAATTAGTGAACTTCGATCCTGATCGAGTGTACTCAATTACATAGCGATCTATATCGGGATCAAAGTTCGGTTTGTATGTACTGTTTCCGTCTTAAAGTACCGGCAAACTTTCAACAGTCGTTCTTTTAAATATTTAGAGACTTCTTTACATAAAAATGCACTTGTCCAATCGGACAAGTGCCCTGCAATATTCACTTGTCCATATTTTTTTTTCACTGGTACAGGACAAGCGGACAAGCGTTAATGTCGAGCGCTGAGATAAAAATGAAAAATGCAAAAAAGTTTAAATGATCAGTGGGTACATAAGGGCAGCTAGTCTGATTAAAACCAGCATGATGGACAACATGATTTAACATCTACAATGGCAGACACTTGAAAGGGTAGGCAAATTGCAAAACTCATCCTATTTTATAAAATGTCCATGACCAAGTTGCTATCACCAAGTGTGATCGAATCATTCCACCATTACGTCAATCACGACATACTCATCATATGGCCTACCAGATACCATCTTGCAAGAGTGATTATCAAAAGTTCTCCTATTTCTCTCGGACCATCAAGGAGTGGAATTTTTTACCACCAGGATCAAGAATTGCCTCAGCGAATACACCGGACACCTTTAGGTCTCAGGTGACCGCCTTCTTACCATAAAGGAGAACTATTATTTTAACCTTTTAAAGTTTTAAATTCGGCATCACGCGCACCACACTTGCCATTATAATCAGTATGCTGATTGTGGGCAATACCTCTGGCGGAAGCAGAAGCCACCTTCTTTCACTCGTCAGTGTCGAGTGAAAGGAGAAGGGGCTAGTTTTAATCAGACTGTACATAAGGTCTTTTAGATAATTTTAAATACATGTATTGCAAAACTGGGATTCTTCTTTTTTGGTAACTTTACAAAATTAAACTAACAAAACAACCTCTAGGACATGCGTCCTTCCCATGTGTTTTGTAAACATCCCTTACATCATTAAAAAAAATACACTTTTATCACAAATGAAATAATCACTAAAAAAATAAATTCTCTGTATTGAAATAATTTTTACATTCTGATTTTAATGACTATTGTAAGCTATATAATGTTCTCTATATCTAGATGTTTTAATTTACTTATCGTGGATATAAGGGGTTGTTGTCATGATAAAGATGGCCGACGAGGAGGAACAGGAACCAAATAATACGTCAGATAATGTGAAATTTCCATCAGAACGCTCGGCCAGACAAGCTAAAAAGAACGCCAGATTAACTCAAATTATCCTCAAGAATGAAAGAAATGCAGCTACGAGACTTGTATGCACATATTTTAGTAATTCTTTTTGTTTACTTTCTCTCAATATAATGACATTGAGACCAACTGGGTTGACAGAATGTAGTTCAGTATGCTGCATTACCAATACATTAAGAGCATTTGTACGATATATATATTTTTTAAAATTAGAGACAACGAAATTCAAAATAAACATGCAGTTACAAATTTGATATGTATTCAGGTGCAGCACAAATGCACAATCTCTTGATAGGGCTTTATAGTGTTAAGCTGCATAGCACAATCATGATTTTTTAATACAAAGCAATGTTATATTGCTTTTTGAATTTTATCAGTTATCACCACTCTAATTAATTTATTGTACCATTAGAAACTTGTGCTTTCTTGTGCATAATATTTGATTTACACTTTGTGTGCTTATTTATATATGTTACTTAAGTGTTGAACAGTCTTTCATTGGTGATTTCAAGAAGAGACATAAATATAAAAACAAAGATTCATAACTCTGCTATTAACAAGTTTATTTGCTTAAATTAGCCAGACCCAAAGCATTCTTAGAACTACTTTTTCACGTTTTTATATTTAGCTCGAAAGATAAAATTAATATTAGGGCCTTACAAGGATTTGTTGGTGCCCTATAGTGATCACTCTGTCTGTCTGTCATTCTTCTGCCCACAAATTTTCTTCTTTTCTTCTTTTATAACTTTTTTAATAGTTATCCTATTAAGTTCAAATTTGGTTTGTTGGTTGAATAGTCAGTAAGACTTATTTTAATACCAATTTTAATTCTATTTCTTATCCGGTTAGGAGCTGGGTTGATTGGGTAGATTCCTAATTCAAAGGAACATTTTCATCAATTATCTCCCTTCGCCTCTTCAATTTTTTTTTTTATAAACTGAAAGCTGCTATGAGTCATAATGATTTATTAATTTGCCTTCTGCAGAAAATCCACAGCCTAATCTTTATCATTAATTAACACCTAAGATGGAAGAACGATAGATGGACAGACAGACAGAGTGATTACTACAGGGCACCTGCAAATCCTTGCGATGCCTTAATAATACATGTATATACTGAACAATAGAGTACACAAATTCAAGCAGTTGCTAATCTCTATTTTTTATCTCTTTCTCAAACAAATCATTTGTATAATGTAAAAATATTCAATTTCCTATCTTTTTGGTTTTAGGTTTCTGGAATTTTGAAGAAAGCAGCAAGTGACAGGACAACTGAGGAACTGGAAGTTTTGTCTAAGTCACCTGAATTAACAAGTAGACTCCAAAAACTAGCCCAAAAAAGAGATGCAGCAAAATCAAGACATCTTGAGGTAATGCAAAATTACCTTAAAAGCATTAAGAAAAGATGATAGTTAATACTTGTAAAAATTTCTCTAGCTCAGAGTTTTTCAAAAATTTTTACCAAAAAAAAAACAAAACAGGACAATAGTCTTGCCAGGAACACTCTGAAGAAATCCTTCAGAATCAATCAACTTTGACCAAGACCCACAGACATTTGTAAACAAAAGGATAGAATACAACAAGCAAAATTTTATAGAAAATGAAGTCTTCACCATTAGTATATATATTTTTTAAAAAAAAATAGAGATGTACATTTATGTGTATTATCCAAAGAAATTCTAAACCTAATGTGTTGAAAATGAAATAATTACTCATATGTGTTTAAAAGGCTCATAGAGGAAATTTATTAGCTTTAATGTGGAGATATGTTTTATGATTGTAAAATTTGTTTTTATACGATAGATGTACATTCTCAGTCAAGTCAGAGAAATGATCTTAATTACTGAATATAAAAAAAACCACAAAATAGGAAATTGATTTACTTAGTTTTACGCTAACCATATGTAGTATAAAAGAATATGGAAGCAAATTTTTGTGAAATCAGATGATTTTAACTCTGAATTAAAAGTGAATTTAATGTTCTTGATGTAATTGGTCTTGGATTTAAGTTGAAAGGTGATATTTATGTATTAGGTTACAACTCTCAATCCCTTAGGGCATATGCTGTAAATGCACTATATCTGGCATGTGCAATATTTGGTGGAAATTGATTTTTGAACAAGTTAGTGTAGATTTGATTTAGCATATTTCTTAATGTTCTTATTTATGTGTATATATGTGCAAGACATTTAGTGTGGTACTTGAATTATCAGAAATTGCTTTCCACCAAAGATGCTGAAAAGAATACATAGTGAACTGTAGTATGTTTACACTCACAGCATTTACAGTAACATATCCAGTACATTGGAAAAAATTTCCCATATTGGACAAGTATACTTTTAGTATTGGTTTCAGCATTGTTAGCTGTGCAGGTGACCAACAAAGTGAATTTTACTCATAAATATTTTGAAGAATATAATTTCATGGAATATGAAAAACAAAGTTTTTGATGTGAGAAATTTGATTTGAAAATTATAAAAGATATACAAAAAATGCACAAGTTAACTTGTCATTGGTATTTCAATTTATTTAGGTTGAGGATCCGGAGGATGTGTTGCAGTATAAGTGCCAACAACTTGCAGAAGCTATTAAAGCCTCAAATAATGTGGTAGTTTACACGGGTGCTGGCATAAGTACTGTAAGTATCAAGGGTACAATATTTGATACCTTGCACAGGTGCTGGATTAAGCACTGCACATACTGGAGTGGGATAATTTTGTATTACATTCTCAAGTTTAAATACCATTTCTGTAACCCTATTACTGGTAATATACGTTTATAAAGCCATAATTTGTTCTGATGCATGCACGTAGCCAAGATGATCTCATGATTTTGAAATTTAGAAATAATTAATAAAAGGTATAGGTTGTAATTTCCTAAAAATTAAAGTTATGTTCTTGTTGCTAACAGGCTGCTTCCATTCCTGACTACCGAGGACCCAATGGAGTGTGGACTTTATTGCAGAAAGGCCAACAACCAGAGTTTGTTTTCATCTAAATTTTATTTATTTTATTTTTTTTTGCAATTCATGGACAAAATTTTCAATACTATGACAGTATTTGCACATAGGTTTGGATGATAACTCCCTAAAGATGATTTCAAATTTGCAATACATGTATCAGAAAAATCATATTTATCTGGCAGTTACTTTTGTTAATTACCTTTAATTGATAAATTTTGGATTTCAATTTTCATCTGTTTTCACAGAGCCCAAGATTTAAGTGATGCAGAGCCCACATTAACACACATGAGCATCACCCAGCTTTACATAAAAGGACATGTAAGTGCATAACCTTTTACGTGTTTAAACAGAATAAAAAGGTCATTTTTATAACATTTATTTTACATTTACTACTAATACTTGAGTTGTTAGAAGTATATGTACATGGTGTGTATTGTCGTAGGTAAAACATGTGGTCTCTCAAAACTGTGATGGTCTACATTTAAGAAGTGGATTTCCCAGACAGATCTTATCTGAAGTACATGGCAACATGTATATCGAGGTTAGGAGTATATGTAATACGAAAAAGTTATATTAATATTTGGACAACTTAAATATAGAAATTCCTATTCAAAGTACCGTAACTTGCATTCATGTATATAAATTGTGTTTTTCACATATATTTTTTTTCACAATATTTTTTATATTTCTCAGGTGTGCACCCATTGTAAGCCTCAGGTAGAGCATATCCGATTATTTGATGTGACAGAGAAGACTGGAGTTCGACGACACAGCACCGACAGATCTTGTCACATCTGTGGAAAACCACTGAAGGACACCATTGTTCACTTTGGTGAAAAGGGTGGACTCAAGTCCCCATACAGATGGAAGGAGGCAGCAAAAGCTGCTAACAACTGTGATATTATTCTTTGTCTTGGAACCAGTTTAAAGGTATATATACAAACACACATTGCAGAATTTATACTGATGCAATGTTGGAATATAGAGTTTGAAACACAGTATACCATACCTTATATAGGTTTGGGATTGTATACATATATACCGTAAATCTGGAAATTTTTACATCGATTTATTTTTGCGAGTCTGGGTCAAAAGTCTGTTGATTAATTTTTACGTTCGAAATTTTTGCGAATCGTCATTTGAACTAAAATTTTCTTAACTGTTTTTAAATAACGCATGTACATACAATAAATTACGAATAAACATACAATATTAAACTACGCCAACGTTCAATAATTAGATAAAAAAAATATCAGAAAAGATAAATCATCCGAAGTGTTGAAAGTTTTCATAGCATTTTCATAAATCACACACATACATAAAATATATATAACGATGTAATCTTTAAGTAATCTTTAGATAAAAACATTTTTTGTTGTTGATTTATTTTTAAGAAAAATATTTTTGCGAATGCAATGCATGCGCAAATTTGCTAAAAATTTATCTACAGCAAAAATTTCCAGATTTACGGTAGAATGACACTGTATATTAACTCTTTTTTTTTTAAAGTCACAATTCAGGAATACAAGAAAAATAAGCTGATATATCACCATTAAACAAATAAAACAAAAAAAACATTGCTAAAGTTTGTCTGATTAATATTTTATTTAAGATATTAAAGAAATATCCTTGCCTATGGTGTATGGACAGAAGACTCCACAAACGGCCCAAACTGTTCATTGTCAATCTTCAATGGACTCCCAAAGACGACACAGCTACACTGAAGATAAATGGTAGGATATCAGTAAATTTAATCATTTATCATCCTTTTGCATTGTTCTTTCCCCCAACTGAAAAAATCAACCTGATCATGCCTTTTTACAGGTCGCTGTGATGAAGTCATGAAGAGAGTTTTAGAGATGATGAGAATACCCATACTTACTTACAACAGGTGATTACACTTTTTATTTCCAAGTGGTTTTCTGATATACATGATCAGGATTTTATTTCCATTTAAACATTATTTATTGTATAAGAGACTGTATTTCAATACATGTACGTCATGTGAATTGGTGGCAAAACCATATGCATAGTTCATTATTTTCAATACCAGCATAATGTATTTTTAATGCTGAGTAAGATATATACAAAGTATACATGAGGGAAAGGACTATATTCGGTAATAACCAATATTTGCCCCCAAAATCAAACTTTGACGGAGAAATATATAATTATGTTCTGAAACAGGGGAATATCTGCAGACTTCAAAGCACTGAATATTTTCATAAGCCATGATGCCATATGTTAGATATGACGTCAGAAAGATGACGTAAATTCAAAATTTCAATGATTTATACAGAAAAGGTGTATATTACGTCGATAATTTGAGTAAAAGTCATCGAGCGCAGGTCTGCTCCAACTCAATATTTGGCTATAATGTGTAGAATGATAATATCAATGAAATATGTAATTATTGTTCTTGAGCAGGCCTGCGCTCTATAAATTCTATAGTAAAAATTGAATAAATTTTGTCCATTTTTTCCTTTTTCTGAAAAATAACACAAAATCCAAATAGTTTGTGACGTCATAGAAACAAAAGTTGCCAATAATCTACTTCGAAACTCTAATATTTTTTGTTAATTTAGATTTCTCACACAATATACACAATTCAGCACATTTCAAGAAAATTTCAAAATATGACTTTTGTGGGAGCAAAAATGTGCATATACCGCATATAGTTCTTTACTCATAGTATTTCTTTTTAGTAACATATTGTGTATTGCATAAATATCCACTTTTACAGTCTTTAGTTTGTAACCAAAATTTTTTTTTGTACATTTACCAATGTTGAATGCTTAGTGCACCACAGATATTTATTTGACATGATGATTTCGCTACATTTTCAGAGAGGATGACCCTATTTTTAGCATGTATTCAGCTCTTAAGAGATCTGAAAGACTTTCAACAACAAAAAAAATACTCAAGATACCAAATACTCTTCACAAAAGGAAAAACAGGAAACCGACCAAAGAACTCGTTGTTGTGGATGTGCAAAAAGAGGAAGCATTAAAAGAAGAGAAGCCAATGGACCCTATGTCTGTGAACTGTACAGTGGGGAGTAGTGTCCCTGTTCAACCCTTTGTTTCCCCAACAGATACAAGGACTGGACCACCCCCATTACTTAATCCAAATAATGGTTCTTTTTTTCCTCCCCTTCCAACATTTCCGAATGGAACAAATCAGCTACCACTCATGCAACAATTTCTTAATCTGAATGCACTTATTCTTGCCACAAACATTCAACAGATGTCAAATCAATTATTGAACAGTGCTTGTGAGAAGTGTAAGGTTAGACGAGATTTAAACTGTCGGTGTATGACTTCTTTGCCTCAGGGACTCGGAGTACCCCTCCTTCCAGGATTGCCTCCCTTTCTTCCATTCCTGCCTCAGCCATCTTTGCTGGATTACCCTAGGTTGGGCATGCCAGCAGTCCCCCCTCAATGGCTTCCTTCCACTCAGGGAATGTTTCAGTCACCTATGAGTGCACCTTCAAACAGTGTGCGTGCCATGCTGAACGACCACTGCTACCTCAACAAAGCTCAGATGCAAAAACTGTCTCCCCAAAGTAATGTGTTGTCTCCTCCACTGTCACAAATGCAGCCGCCCAGGCAGAACAAAGTTAAAATGACAAAGTCTTCCGAGAACGAGAAATCAAATCATAAAATAAAAGTTGAATCCTCCAAGTCTTCCCTAAAAAGAGAAAGAACTTATCCTTCATCTGTCACCTTTTCACTGGAGAGTCCTACAGATGAAGAATGTCCTCGTTTGGGCATGTCTGACCCTGGCATCCAAATTCAGGACAATCGTGTGAAAGAGGAAAATCAAGAATTGCCTCTAAACAGCATTAACAAAGACAAATCATGGCCCTCTGTGATAACCAAAGACAATTTGACCTTGGAAAGATCTGTGTCTGAACAGCTTATTTGTGATAAGACTAAGGAGGAAGATGATGAGGCATCCCCAAACAAAAAAAGAAAAATCGTAAGAAGCACCTCTGTTCCTGGCTGGTTTGGGAAGGGGCTGAATCTGAAAAAGAAAAGAAGAGTCTGAGAAAAGATGTTTTCAATTGAGCATTTGAAATGAACATATTGAATAATTGAGCATTTTGTGTGTGTGTGAAAGGTTTCATATTTTTTTGTGTTTCTATACATTTCATGCTGGTGCAATATATTTTCCCCCCTTTCTTGTTTACTAATCATACTGGGTAATATTGATATTTCACACCATGATCTCATAATGATACTAGTACAAAGATTTGATTTAATGGTGTTTATCATGTGAGAAGATATTTATTGCATTATGTCTGTGCATTTATTTTGGTATGTTGTACTAAACACTAGTGCTTTTCTACTTAAAAATTTCTGAAGGTACTGGGTTAGACTGGTGTTTGTTTTTTTTTTTGGTGCATTTGCACTATTTGTTTTTATGTCAGAAATTTGGAGAGAAAAAAAATCATTAATAACAGAATTTTTGTATTTTAAATTTAATAACTAAATTATTATTTGCATATTTACTAAAGTTGTATTTAGTTTGTTCTTATCATTTATTTGAAAAATATATTAGAGGGTACTGGATAACCCAACCATGTTAGTTTATGTATTTTTTAAAAAGATAGACAATTTCTAGAGTACTTTTTTTTAGAACCTTGCTAGATGTAATTCTATAAAGGATGGATGCAATGTATCATTCCAATGTGATTCAAATTGCAAAAGTTTCACAGTTTTATATTGCCTAAATCAAAGGGTTAACTACTTTTGAATAGAGTTTGTGATGTTGGTCTGACAGGAATGTTCATTTTTAGTTCACCTTGATGAAGTGGCGAAACTTGCATGGATGATATATCTAGGGATGGACACTACCAGACTAGCTTTGGATCAAACTTGCATGGATAATGCATCTTGAGATGCACACTATCAACGATTCTTTGGATGCTCTGATCCATATTTTCAGGATAGTGACCATGTTGACGTTTTTGGAGCAGTTCAATTCATAAGTAACTACCGTAAGTTTTGGGGTATATGTCGATGGGGTATATAGGTCGAAAGGCTCATTTTCAGCCATAATTTTTAAAAAATCCTTAGATAGGACGATTTGGAAGATAGGACGAGGCTTTGTTTATCGACTTTCTAGAGATTCTTACCTAGAAACTACGTATCAGAACATGTAAAGGTCTTTAACTTAACCCGTGATATTAACGTATGAAGAAAATAAACTGGTATTTTTATGAGTACAGCATTTTAATAGTGTTTTACACAAACATAGTTAAAACTTCCTTGAATTGTGATATAACGCATTTTCTCCAACTTGCCTATTCAACGCCGTCGTTGTTTGACTCCGTCGTTAAACACATAAATACGGTAGTATACAACAGCTATAATTAGGGAAATACCCGAAATCAAACAATAATCATTTCCATTTTAAAACATTGTGGACACATTCTTTTATTCCGACATTATTTACCGGGGTACAATATTAAGTGCGATGACCGCCATTTTTATATTTCTTGTTCAGGGATTTGCTAAAACACGCAAATGACTATTACATGTAACAGTGAGCAATTGAAATTAATCATATTAACATGCTATAATTTTGCTTGAGATATTGTTGTAAAAAATAAATTTAATTGAGAGTACATTCGCAATTTAACAGTCATCAGGAATTTCACAGTTTTGTTTGTTCAATGATGTATAGTACTAATACCCCTGTAACGGCACGTGGATCTGTTAATCATGCCCCGCAGGTGTTTAAACCAACAGGTGTTAACACCTTTGTGTACACAGTGTATATCCCTCTATCTGTCAGACAATTAAAATTCTATTAGAAGCCAATCTTTGTATAATTCGGTGTACCCCTTGGGATATATGACTAGCGGTATATTTGGTAAATAATTTTAGGAATTTACCGGCAACAGTTTATTTCACACATTTTACATTTAAATAAATATCACAAGACAATGAAAAAATATTTACTTGGTATACTATTTCAATTAATCGTTACAAATAAATGGTAATAAAAAAAAAATTCAATTGCGATTGTGAAAACTCCTCCGTATTTTAAACTTTGATACGGTTGCGGTTTTATTTTTAGTAAACGATTGCGACTTCCAACTTCACAAGATGGACACAGCATGACTTTGAGACATTATTGATGATATATAAGTTTTTTTGTACATCGACGGATATTTAATGGAACTTATTTTGTAAGAAATCAATGGAATAAATATTTAATTCTTTATTGTTTATTATTTTTTTTTCTCGGTAAAGTAATTTTAAAAAAATACAAAAATGGCATAGATTTGCTTTAAAATTGACGTAAATTTTACTGATTTTTGGGGCATTTTTCGTAAACTTGGGCCTTAGATAGGTCGATTCGTTAAATAGGACGATCCCAGCGGTTCTGAGAAAAAAAGTATCGTCCTATCTTCCAAAACTTACGGTATAAGCCCTGTGGTGATCAAACTTGCATGGATGATGAATCTAAGGATGCATCCTACTAAACTTGCTTCAGATGCTGGGTCTGACCTACATTTTTTGATGAGTGAACAGAATAAAGTTTTTAGAGCAAGTCCATTCCTAAGAAACAATAAGCCCTTTGTTGATCAGAATCACATGGATGATGCATTAAGGGATGCATCCTACCAGAATTGCTTCAGTAGCCCTATGGTGACCAAACTTGATGGATGATGTCATCAAAGGATGCAGAGTACCAGGCTGTATCTGAAGTACATTCCCAGTTGAGTGACCAAACCTAAGTTTATGGAGCAGGTCCATTACAAAGTAACTATAAAGCACACTTTGTCCAAACTTTGCATGGATGATGCATGTAGGGATGCACATTTACCAGACATTGTTGGAATGCAGCATCCACCTACCTGGATGATCTGACCTACATTTTCAAGACGATTGAAACAAAGATTTGTAGCAGGTCCATTTCCAAGAAACTATAAATTTTACAAAGACCACACTTGCATTGAGGTTGATCTAATTGTGCACATTACCAGAACATTTATTATTGTGAGATTTTGCCTTCACTGAAAGGTAACATTTGTTGAGGTCAGATTTGGTGATTACATGTATCTATTTTTTTTTTATGTCCAATATTCTTGTACAACTGTCAGCTAAGTCACAAATGTCACATCTAGAATTACCTCTTATGTATGTCATCTTGAATATATAGAGTCTTGGGGCCTTACGGCACATTTATTCATCCTGTTAGCATATAGTAGAAAACACAGATGTAATCCTCTGAAAATGAAGAGAAGCATGAGTGCATTGAAACAGAATTGCAAGGGATCCATAAACGGTTACTTGATACTACTAAATTTTATGAAAGGAGTTAAATTTCTTGATTTCTTCTGCTTGCATTGTATCTCTTTTTCTATGAAAAAGGTATTTTTGTACCCTGCAGATGGCCAGTAGAACAATTTTGTATGTATTTTGTGGTTTTTAATTTCACTTTGAAATGATGAGTTTCATTCTTTTTTTTTATGTTTTGTAACGGGTGACAGAGAACACAATTCTTTTGTAATGTATCAAGTTTTGTTGACTACTAATTATGGAATAGAAATAAAGCCAGACTATGGTATATTTAGAGTTCATTTTACATCTTTGGAATTACATTGAAAATTACATTGAAAATGAAGTTTGAAATGAAAAAAAACTTTCAAAGTTAACAAACACTTTCAAAGCAGCATTTAACTAAGTATGTGAAATCTTATTAAGATTTTTTTTTCTAAATGATCAACTCCAAACCCCATTTAAAAGAAACTTCTGATCTTTTTTTTTCGACCTGTCCTTATTGAAAGCTAAATAGACTGAAAAGGCCATTTGGTGAATCGGTAATTCCTAAAACATCGAGGGTGATTGCACTTTGAATAAGAAAAATCCTTGGATATTCCTTGAGGTGTAGGAGGATGTTTTTAAATCACCAAAGAGCAAAACATAAATGTTCTCATTTTGTAATTAACTTGATGAAGAAAACCCTAGCATGATCAACCAAGGGCAAACGTGCGTCAAAACGGATCGAAGGCTCGGCTGATGCTTTATGTATGGGTGTAATGACTTTTTACACTTAAGCTTCATGGAAATGGTTCATTTCTTAAACATTTAAACTTCCAAGACGCGAGTCCATTATATACATACCAATAGTTATGATAATGATTATTTGAACAATATGTTTTTGTTGAATACGGGCAACTTTCCATGCCCTATTTCCCTTTGTTACAAGGATAATGAGTGCAAATATCTACATTTGAATTTGCTTGCGCATCTTTTCATTAATGAGTTAGACTAAGTAATCTTTTTATATTACAATTTCCAAAACAGAATAATTAAATGTTGACAGGTCACATTTTCCCCTTGCTTTCAATCACGTTAAACAACAAATCTTTAAAATGGCAATTCACAATGATATATATTTCTTATCAGACAATATTGCCAAACAATGACTATCTTAGCTATGGGGAGATGGGGGATTTAAATATTCACCAAGGTATATAGCGAGATTCAATCAGTTCTGCGCCATTTGGAATCACCAGGATGTTTAATTCTGTATGTACACGTAATCTTTAAACCCGAGTATGTTTTCATGGATAGATATGGCAGCAGTTCGTTCTGTTGTTTTGATATTGGTCTTTACTGGAATTACAGCTGAGAGTGAGTACTATATGTAATTCAATATGTATATCGCTGCACAATGAATCTAGAGCAGCTAATTTTTATAGCAGTTTTCTACTTTGTCATTGCTTTCTTCATTGACTTTAAAATGACCAGTAACACATTTTACATTTCCATTGTACTTCTGGGAATATTTTCTTGTAAGATGTGTTTCTTTAATTAATATTGTATTTGTCATGTACAGACATTGGAGACAAATCAGCTACTCTGCTTTATATTTACTCGTAATCTAGGAGGAGGAATTTTTAAAATAAGAATGTTTTGTGTTTTAAAAAGTGCACATTATATTTGTATTTTGTTCATAAGAATTTATGCAGTTTAATATTACAGCATTACACTGTCGTTGACAACAATACAGGTCCATATTTACAGCAATTATCAACGGCATATATTGCATTTTCAGCACAAAATATCGTCGAACCAAAACTCGCAAATAAAAGTCATTTATATACACATAGGAAGATGATGGTGGGGTGGACTATAATGCAAAATATTACCTGGCAACAATGTCATTGGCAAAAGTTGTCTTCTTGTAAAGATTCTGTTTTACACATAATACGAATTCAATTAGAAGATGAAATTTTTTACAGAGAAAGAACCCTGAAAATATTAGAAGGGATATTTAGAAATTATTATTACAAGGAAAGATGCAAGAGGCTCTAAGGCAGTTGTCAAGAAAAGACACACAAGTCTCTACCAAGCATTTTATTTATATCGGGGGGGGGGGGGGGTGATGGGTGGAGATGACAATCAAGCTTGTAAACATTTCTGTCCTTGGATGAGGCTCTATCAGGGTAGGCCTTGTATAGTTATTCTTATTTCTGAGTTTAATGTCTCTAGCATTACATATACATAGAAATCCCTATATTCTACACAGTAGTTGTAATGTATTGGTAGGCGACTTATTACGGTAATGCTCACATATTCTGTCGTCGATTCAGCTGGTTTGGCATTAATGTATGACTAGAACATTGATGCAGAACATATTAATTGAAGCCAACTAAAGTGTTTAGACTGTGACAAGGGAATTAAATGGTTTTATTTTTTTTTAAAATGATAAGTTATGCAATGTTACATTTCTAAACTGTTGAATCATTTGATTTTGCCACCCCTAAAGATAAACAAACTACACACCAAATCTATTGTCATTTTAAAAAAACAGTAAGTAACCTTACAATACTGGTCAGAATGGAGACCAGAATGAATTCGCAATTGTTAAAGAACTAAAAATGGTTTCCTTTTTATCTAAATTGCGTTATTGATAAGATTTGACAGCTGATTGGGCAACCCGAAACAAGAAAAGTAAACAATATAGAAATGTGCTGCACGTATTTAGTTTAAACTCAATCATTCTGTGTCCGGTATTTTCAATTTCCAGCCATGTAAACCAATAAAAAAAACTTATTAACATGTTTGTGGACTTGTTTTGAAAAGAAAAAAAATTGCTAGCAAATATGGTATTTCATTTTGGATTGAACGTTTTCTGGATGTGCTTGTCCGTTAAAGCAAACAACTTTCCCCTTGAATTAATGTAATTGACATTTTATATGTACTAAAATGGTTTAGAATAAATAAATATAAGTATAACAAATGTAAGCGGCGCTTGTTTTCATTGAATTCTTGTTGGTTTGTTATTCTTTCCGTTAATCTTTTATAAAAGTAACTGTAACTTGGGATAATTTAATTCAGTTCACAACTCTGACCTAAAATGTCTGTTAAATTGTCATGGTGTAGCTTGTATCATTCATATCAAACTGAAGCATATTTTATTCCTATAAAAAAGCATATTTTATTTCTATAAAATGTTTGATCAATGCAAAGTCGTCTTTATTTATATATTGCACACACATAAGTTTGTCGACGAATTCATCGACCACAGCCCCCCTTCCTTCCCCCACTTCATAGAGAAATGTACTGTTTTCTTCGCGAGAACTTTTTTCATTTAATAATGGAGATTTTCTGAAAATTGTATTTTTATTTATATTATTAAAATATCATTTACAACAATATTAAAAAATGTGTGAAAATTCTGTCTCGCTTATTAATACCAAACAACTTTCACGAAAACTGAACATCTGATATATATATATATATATATTTATATATATAAATATATATATATATATATATATATATATATATATATATATATATATATATATATATATATATATATATATATATATATATATATGCGATAATTTTTCTCATAATGAAATTGAAGCACGATCTACTATTTCTGAAAATGTGTAAATGTAATAGAAGTTAAATAAGATTTTGATATACACGTAATAATGCTTAAATTGCAAATGAATTTCACAATATCCTAGAATGGAAAGCTTTACTTAATATAAGAAAAAAAAACATAATGAAATATGTAGAGATAACGAACAGTATTCGAGCTCAAAAGTCCATTAAACATTACAAAATAGGATAGAGCAAACACGGACCTCTAAGACATCAGAGGTGGGATCAGGTGCCATGGAGGAGTGAGCATCCCCTGCCGACCGGTCACACCCGCCGTGTGCTCCTTGTCATGATCGGAAAATAACGGAAAAATCCATCGACAAATCAGTGTGTAAATAATGGCCTAACAATCAGTATGAAAAAAGTCAGTCAGCATTTGACTTAATGAGATATTGTATTTGCTTACAAGGTCATCGACCATAGAAGCAGTCATAAGCAATTATTATTCTCACAGACAGAATGTTATAAAATTGATGGAACGGATGTCAATTTAAAACGAACAAATCCTGAAAAAACAATGCATGTTTATCCTAAAAAAAAAATATGATGCTGTCTGTCCTCCTTGATATATTTCCTCCTCTCTTTCTAATTTTTATTTTTTATTCATTTTCTGTTATGTTTTTACATGTATATATAGTTTGTATTAAATGTATATATGTTATTAATGTACTCCATGTATCAATATTTTGGTTAGGGTAAATAAATTGAACTTGAAGTTGGCGATTCCGAGTATGCTAAATTCAATATGATACTTTCAAGCATGCAAACCTTTACAATATAGATTTAAAACATCTTACACAACAATTCTATTTTTACTCTTATTCCATTATAAAAAAAATAAATTAAATGAAAATCTTTCATATATAATCAAATTTGTTACATTGTAATGACTGGTATATTCCTGAGTTTCTTCTTTTTATTTTAGATGGCCAGTCAAAATGTTATGCTTGAATTTAAATTTGTTAATGGGTAGAAGATAACAATTGCTTCTTTCCTTCAATATAAATACATTACTGAATTGTAGAACTATCCTTCGTTTTCTTGTAGAGATCGTATTTGACTCGGATTCCTTCACTGTTGTCGATCCATCCACGATCAGCAATGCAGCCGAGTATGCCGATCCAGCCGACTGTGGTATAATACCTAAAATACATGTACAGTAAAACTCGGTTATAACGAACTCATTTATAAGGAAATCTTTGTTATAATACGGAACTTTTAACGAATCCCGTAAAAGACTTTTCACTGTATTTCTTGCATGGATATAAAGAATTTCGGTTTGAAGGAAGCTCCAAGTGACTTCCTTACAACCGAGTTTTACTGTAGCTTGGATTAAAACACCCTATAATTTGCCATTGAAAAGTCAGTATTTTATGACAGTTTTACAAAGTTTAGCTGAATTTGGTTAATTCCGAGAAATTTTTTTTTTCTATTGCCAGGAAGCAAACTATACAGTATGGCTGCCGAGAAGGATAAGAACATGGCGGTGAGCATCAGAGTAGCAGACTTTAACAAAGGCTCGTCTGACTACTTCCGGGCACACCCATCTGTTACTCTGTGTCTACAGAAAGTTTTCTCTAAAGTCTACGAAGTTACAAAGGAAAAGGTAAGAACTTGCTGATATCAGTTCTAATAAAACATCAACTTGATTTTCTCCCAAGAATTTCAAAGACGTCATTACCAGAATATAAGTGTGGATATTCAATAATGAGTTTCTGTGAATATTTTGCTTTGTGTATAGTTGAAGATTGACAAAGGATATGAACCAATCTCAGTGACAAGCGGTTACACACCGGCCGACAGGAAGAACTACCTTAGCAGCGGTTGTGGGGCCGTTATTTCTTACAGAGCATCAGGGGATATAAATGAAATCACAAAAGCTGCCCTTACTCTATGTCCCGTCATATTTGAGGTAAGTAGATATCGGTTTATTCTTTTTTTGCAACAAAATAGCGCTTTTAATGATATTTGAACAGAGAAGTTACATGTACTTATGTTCATTGGGGGGTGGGGTGGGTGGGGGTGGGGGTCAAATAAATATTATCAAAATTTTGCGCGTAAGTTAAAAAAATTGTGTATTGAAGCGTTTTGTATGATTTTAATAGCATCTTATGTCGGTATTATAGAGAGATTTTTGCGTACGTATATTTTCAGCAAAACCAAAGAGACATTGGTATATATGTAGACTCATCCTCGGTTTTCCTCTTCATGACTGGTGCAATTACCCCACTGCCTGTATACCAAGGTGGAGGCCTCACCAAATCAAGTGCTGAAACTATGGTCAACGAAGGATTAGGTAATTTGACCGACAATTGCCTATTTTCTTGGAAAATTAAATTCTTTATAATGATTCTATCAATTAAGCAGTGAGGTGCTGCAGCAAACAGAAGCTAATCTCCACACTCAGTATATTTTTTCTGTTTAAAATTCAGCACCAAAGAAGATTCCAGATTGTAGCAATTTCCCACAGGTGTCTAATGGGGACCATTACCCCTCCGGTAAATCGGACCTCACATCTGTAGTAGGAGTAGTTGATGAAGCCGTTACCCCGAGTATGGACACTGACGTCAGAAGGTATGTGTTATAGAAACACAGGACTTTAACTCTTCTTAAGTCAAAGAAATATGTTGCATGTTTTGGTCCCCTTCTTCTCTTTAAGCTGGAAATTGCTGCGACAAGCCTGCAAACAATACCCCTGTTTATCGCTCATTTCAGATCTGTCTAGTTCTCAATCTGAATTCACTTCTCATGCATGTTCCTTCTATCTTTGTTTTAAACCATACTTTTTTTTAAAACGTTTTGCAGAATGGCCCAATACATTGGGACTGATGTAGATTTCACCGGATGTACGACATATCCAGGGAACAGTATAACCAACAGGTGAGAGCCAATCATCCAATAGCATTTTTCTAAAGCTCATCTGTACTGAATATTGCCGAATTTTTTTTTTAGATAGGTATGTGATATTCATAAGCGAGGAAAAGTTTTCACGAATTTTTGTTATTAATGTACATAATCTTCGATAATGAAAAAAATACATGTATACACGAGAATGAAATTTTCGTGTGCAGATGGTCTCGCGTAATTTCCCTAAAATAAAGTTCTCTCATAAAAGAAGTGATTTGCACTACTATTTCAGACATATTTTTCGTATAAAACGATTCTCAATCTTTGCTTCAGATGCCCTGTTCGTGTGATGAGCCCAAGACTCTACAATGTTCTCGTTAATCTAAAATCCTATGCGAAGAGTGCTAGCTTAGGAGGATCAGGTATTTTAGTTAAGACAAAATTGTGCATCTTGATTTTCAACTTAGGTTATCTTTTTAAACAGAAAAATTATGATCAATAATCTGTAATCAGGATCCTTAAAATATGCTCGATTTTTTTTTTATGAGGTGGTAAGATTACCGTTGAGGAAGCTTGGAATGAGGGCACGGATCCATCCAGTTTGAGAGCAGAGGGGCGCATGATGAAGGTCAAGTTATCCTCTGGTAACACTGCTGCCAATCTTGCGAGCCTGGCACAGTTGGCAATATGTGCCAAAGCTGATCACGTGTCAAACATGGGTTAGTTCTAAGTGTACCCTATATTTCTTACGCAAAATTTAAAAAAAAATTTGAAAACGGTTGTTGTGTTATGGTTGAGCAGGCCTTCTTATATACATGTACATGGTATACAGACAAAATAAGCGTGCAATGAGTAAAGACTGCTTTTAATACAGGAAGTCATATTCTGGTATCATCGAAAAAGCAGAAAGGAAGAGTAGAGGCCACGGTCAATTTTCCAAAAGCCACCCTGGTATCTGTTGAACCACCTGCATCTAAAGCTTCAATATACGCCTTGCCAACAGAAATGATGGATGAGGAGGACCAGTATCCACTTTTCGACTCTAGTGGAAGGGTAGGAAGCATATGACTGTGTATAATACTTTTTGTCACTTTTCGATGCTAGTATTTCTTCCAAAGAAGCTTACTACTAGTACATGTATTTCATAATTTTCTCAGATTTTGCTTTTGTTACTTCACAGTTGAATCTTCCAATAAGTCAAGGTGCCACCCTTTCAAAATTCATTGCAAAGGATACTCAATTTCGGTACTTGCGTCTGGCACCCGCTATTGCTCAGTGTTATTTAAAACTGATATACAATGAAAACAAGTGGCTCAATGCTTCTGGTAAGTAGATTTTGAAATTGAACATTGTTTTGAATTTATTTTTAGCTTTTAGTTGATGTTTATGATGTTTTTAATTGCAAGATCCACCAGTGGATGTTGAGATAGTACGAGCCTTTATGACAAACGAGGAACAGAAGTCGTTGATACAAAGTTCTGACGAACGCTACAACACTCATACATTGGGGCAAGCTCTGGAATTGAGATATGCCACAACTGTGGTTAATAGTACAACAGTTTACAACAACGTAAGATTAATCAAAAAGGTTGTGGACATCTGTGGGCCGGTTTTCAATACATACGGTTTTAACATGAACCTTGGGCTGTATCCAAAATCTGTTTTCGTCAGTATGGACGAGGATCAGTTTCTCTTTTGGTCCAGCACTGAATCGTTAATCCCACAAGGCTTCACTGAGCAAGAATTCGATCTTTACTTGGAGGCCAGAAGAGAGGCTGCATTGCGTTAGTATTTTGCTATAAAATATTCAAATTTACATGGCATTGCCTTTTCTTATATATGTCCCAAAGAAGAAAAGAAATTGATCTCTTATGCTTCATCTCGCAGAATCTCGAATTGTGGATCCAGACGATATCAGAGAAGCATGTCTTGACCCGGATGTTCCTCAAAAACAACACATCCGGTATAAATACAAGGAACCGAAGGTTATTCAAAGAAAGAGGAGAAGGAGGAGACAGACAGCTGACTCGTGTGTTCCTACCGAAACAACAGACTTCTGCACATCCACTCTCAAACACAGACAACAGGTAGTGGACGACCTTTGGAAAACGATGTCTAAAGATAAACACATGTACCATGAACCTGCGACAGAGGCGGAAGACGCCCTGAAAGGCTGTCTCCTGACTTGTGGCACATGTTTGGAAGGTACATGCTCTTTCTATTTCAAGAGCAACATTTTGTATATATGCTGTATGAATTCATTGGATGACGGTAAAAATGAAATACAATTGCAACATGATAAAATAAAAACCTTTTAAAAAAGAGACAAGACACTCTAAAACATTAAGATATTAAAATTTTCTCTTTGCTCCTGTTTTGTTCATTCAGACGAGTTTATTTTTTTTTAAACATACGGTTAATATCAAAACTGATTTCGACTGTGTGTTGTTAATTTTTAAGGAGCTATCTATGAGAAAAAACTGGAGCACTGTAGTAACTTGATACATTGGATGCCATTCGATCTGATGAACGACCAAAAAGATATGACCAACTTCTTTGCACGAGACAACATGGAGACCTTCGCTCTTGCTTGTGAAGGTGGTGGCCATTGTCTTTTGAGAGCACCTATTTTCTCTATCCTTGGTAAGAACCTTCATTCTTTAATATTGACAATGTTACCAATAAATAAATAGTTCAAAAATACCTACATATCTACCTTGTATTCTGCCATATGAATGTTTCAAATACACTCACTCAGTCAAATATTTCATTAGATTTATTTTTCATCAATTAAGGAAGGTAAACACGAATGATTTTTTTTTGGGGGGGGGGGGGGGGGGGGCTTTGAGAAAATTGAATCATGTAAAGTTCTGTACATGAGTTTATCTAGTTCACTTTCAACATTAGGAACTGTCGTATATCTCCAGGAAAAACGTTCAATTTAGTTTAAGAAGTATAAGTTGGCAGAAAATTACTGTTGTATAACGTTATGGAAATACGTACATGCAAATAGTGTTTTCAATTACTTTATGTTGACCTAATATAATGTTTAATATATTTTTATTTTTTTGAAATTGTGTCATTTTCTATAGATTTCTATTTATTCTATTTTACATCAAAGGGCAAATCACTCTATTTGCATAAAATTACCAACTAATTAAAACTATTTTGTGAGCAGTGTTTAGAGTGTCCTTAAGATATCAAATGTGCAATCCTGATCCTTCATTTTTCAACACTTTTGAAAATACTAAAAGCCAGTACTAGTAATATTGCTATTATTCCCCCTGAAGCCCCCAGTGTAAAACTCCGATATCGGCCAGACCCTGATAGGAGTGTCATTGAGGACCTGTATTCATCCGAGGAGAATCCCAGTCCTGTCCTCTCACTCCTAGAGGAGCTGTACGCCATTCACGCTATAGGAGTCACCAAATTCTGGGTCAAAGACGAGAAGGAAATCAGTTCCATGAAGCTTGCCTTACGGGTTTGTTGTGTCATATACTTTTACAGTAGTATTTTTTATCACACACACACACAGAGCTTTGAAAAAAATTGTTTTCCTAATATAAAAATATCAAGAGTCTAAAATCCGTTTAGTAAAATATTCGAATGATTGGTGCATCTAACTCTAGTGTTGTTTGAAAATTTCGACTTTTGCAATTATCTACACTTGTAACGACACAGTTTGTTTGAGCCTTCAATATTTTTTTTTCCAGGCGGCACTGATGTACAACCCTAATGTCACAGAAGTGCATATTCACGTCACTCAGTCCAACAGTAAATCTCCCGTACAGAGCGAGGTGGAGAAATTTGTCAAAGAATTTGCCCAAGGTGGCTGTCCTACATACACCCGAGAAATTCTGGCTCCATTCCGGATACTAGACCCACCTCATAGTAAGTATCGATTTCTAAATGAAAATAGAAGACATCAATTCTTCTAAAGTAAGATTTTGAGACTTAAAGACAACAATCTACGATTTACAAAATATAAAATGACGTATTATACGTAAAACGCCCCGAAAGACATTTCATCTTGTTAAAGGTGCTTAGACACAGATTTGAACTTCATATTTTCCCAAATTTTCTGTATGATATCACGACTTATATATTGCAATAGCATTTCACACGAAAATATAATTAAAACTTATTTTATCTGAAAATTATTGGAACTACGAATTCTGGGACGCGTTTGATTAACACATCTTTGCACTTACACAAATTTTAACTTTATCCTTAATATTTAAGAAAAGAAGCTATTTTGTAATGTATTAATGAAAAATATTACATCTATAATCCAGAAAATTCAGAGTAGAAATGTTCGAAAGCAAAACCAACTCACCAGTATTGTCAGTCCGTGCTCTGTGATGAGTACAGAGTTTAACAAATTGAAAACACCCGTGAAACGTAAACTGTTTTTGTAAACAGGGCACGAGCTCTGTTATTGTTAATGTTTACGATTCACCGGGTGTGTTCAATTGTTAAACTCTGCACACACCACTGAGTACGGACTGACAATACTGTGAGTGGGTTTTGCTTTCGAACATTTCTACTCTGAATGTTTTGGGTTATAGTTTTAATATTTTCTATTAATACACAGCAAAATTGCCACTTTTCTTAAGTATTAAGAATAAAATTAAAATATGTGAAAGCGCAAGGATGTGTCAATCCAACGCGTCCAGAAATTCGAAGTTTTAATAACTCCGAGATGAAATAAGATTTTATTATATTTTAGTATGGAATGCTATAGCAACATATAAGCCATGAAATTATACAGAAAATTGGAGAAAATATTAACTTCAAATCTGTGTCCAAGCACCTTTAAGAAGTGGTAGTCGACGTATCAAACTCATGTGATAGCAACTCCATGTTCCTTTTATAAGCACATGAGAATACATCAATTCAACTTACCAAATAAATTATTTTTTAGGTGTGAGGAAAAGAAGTGCTGCCGCTCTGCGGAAAGAGAGCGAAAGTATGATGCGGGCAAGCTTGAACAGGGAACAGGCCGAGTTTGCAAGAGAGTTTCCATGAAGTGTCCGTTGTGTACAAAATTCTAATTCATTTCGCTTCCTCAAGTTCTTGAAGAATACAACTTTCTTATCCATTCCAACGTTTACAATAATAGCATAATCACTACCGTATACTATAGTACTAATCGATACGTTCTGTAACCAGAAATTGCACACGTAGACAATATACACTGGTAACATAGCATTTTCTCTCATCGGGTCCTTCGACAATCTTTTGTGTTTCCCCTTGTATTTATTTTTTAATCCCTCCAAATTAAATCTTACTTTTCACGTGTATAATTGTTTTATGCCATATACATGTATTCCGTATTTTTGAAAACCAGAGCTACATATTTTGTTTATTTAATAAGGAGGCACAGCTCTTCTTAAAATTTAATACACGTTCACTTCTTTGTCATTAAAAAAAAAGACAGGTAAGCCTTTTATCACAAGTAATAAAATTTCACATTTTCAAAACAATAAATAAATTATTCTTATATACAATGCCGTATTTTTTCTATAAATATCCCCTTTGCATCCAATCAAGTCAACACATTTTGACACATCAATATAGAGTAAAAGTTACTCTTTAGGAAACAACCCGAATACAATAATGATTAAAGGGAACATCCGTCTACACACAAATAAGGCCAAAAATGCGTGTTTGCAAATATTACCTACTATGTACAGAAGGGTTTGCAAGTAACATTGAAACGACACCACAGAACAGAGATGCAAGCATAACCACAGCGAATACAAATTACATCACAGTTTCTTTTAGTTATTGCACAGTTATGTCTCAATAGCACCAAAAAGTAAAGTGTTCATCACTGCTGCTGCATAGGACAAAATGCGCACGCATTAATTTACAAGCCGACATCCGGTTGTCACTCTATGGCGGCGAATGATGTTCAAAACTCGGATACTCCGTATCCATCCTCCATCGTTGGGGTGTAGTCGTAAGAATACGTCTTCTGTGTCGTCTGCACTGTCTCCGTTGTTACTGGCTGGTTCGGGTGACCTGGCGGATATACCTGTCTCTTGTCTGTGCGCGTTTCGTTGATCATACGGTACACGTGAGATTGGTTCCAGTCTCTTTCACCTAAAAATCCCGAAAGAGACATATATTTTATATAATTGTAGTAACAGAGAGTAAAGATTTTTGAATTTAAAAATTACTATTCAGAATTAGTTTTAAGTAAAAAAAAAAAGCAGAAAAAAGAACAATATGTGCCAAAAAAGCAACACTTCCAAATGCATCCTTGATTGCCAGATATTTAACTAGCATCTGCCCAGTTCGTGAATTAAAAAATACTATACACATTAAAATAGAAGAATGACATAAATTATGCGAGTAAAAAGTGCACGTTTGCAGAACGGATGGTTGGCAAAGATTTTGTGGCTATAACTTAGATGTTACATACCATTTTGATAAGAAATTCAAAAAATTCCTAGAAAGTGGTATGTCAAAATCAAGTTCAAGCACGTACTTTGTAATTCACAAACTTCATTCAGCGTACTTATCTGCAAATGTACATATACATTGGTGCAACATGCAATAAAAAGAGATGCATACATATGCATTATAGACATGCTAATTTCTGGAAAATGAAAATTGTGATTCTTTTAAAAATCGTTACTGATGAACACATTTTATTTCTGTTTGTGACTCGTATATATATGTGATCATTGCTTTAAAATGTAGATACAAAATAAAAGTGAAACATAATATTTCGCAAAATTATGGATAAAATAGAAATAATACTATAAAACCATTGCATGAGAAACGAAAAATACTGAAAAGATTGACACATCCGCAAAAATAATCTTCGCAGAATAAAAATTGGCAAAAGACAACTGCAAACAAGAGAGGATTCAATGGCTGAGAATGCTACAATAGTCTGTTAGCACAAGTTGTCTAGAGGGATAGGAACTGGCCTCACTTCAAGCAACCCAGGAACCATGCTTGGAAGGAGTAAGAAATTACCGATGACATACATCCTCCACCAGACTACTGGGCCCACTTCTTCATGTTCAATTTTCCTGGGGGTTTCTTTTCTTGCTTAAACTGGGATAAATCCATCCTCTCCTTCTTTTTCGGCGCCTGTGATTCTGGCTCTTCTGTTTCTTCTTTCTCAGTAGCGCCCTTTTCAACATCTTCCTGGGCTGTGTCTTTTTCGACCTCCACATCCGTTGATTTCTCTTCTTGATCTACCGTTGTTTCTTGAGGTTGTTTATCTTCTGATCCTTCTGCTTGTTCTGTTGGCTGTTGTTGGTCATTTACTTCTTCTGCTGGTGTTTCTTCAGGTTGTTGGTCTTGTGTCTCTTCTGCTGGTGTTTCTTCAGGTTGTTGGTCTTGTGTCTCTTCTGCTTTTTCTGACACTTTTGCATCCCCTGCTGGTTCTAATTGCTCTTCCTGACTTCTTCCGCCTTCCTTTACCAGCTCCTCGTCTTTTGGTGTAGATTGTTGGTTCTCATTACTTTTCATTTCGGAGTCAACTTCCTCTGAATCAACTTTCACTTCTTCTCTATCGTTTTTACCTTTCTTTACAACCTCCTCCACCTCTAATGCAGGTTCTAAGCTTTCTTCTTCTTTCAATTCAATGACTGCTTCCACTTGTGTCTCAGATTCATCTACTTTATCTGTTGGTGTATTTTCCTCATGTACAGGTTCCTGTTTCGATTTAACATCAACAACATCATCCTGTGTTCGATCCTTAGATTCTACATTACCATCTGTCTCAACTTTACCATCTACTTTGTCTTTAACTTCATCCGGTAATTGCTTTTCCTCTTGCAAGATTTGTTGTTCTAGTTTTTCAACCGAGTGTTGTTTATCTTTTGCCTTCTGATCTTTTCCATCAAGTTCCTCAATCTTTACTTCTTTTTCAGAATCTTCGTTTGAAATTTCCATTTTCTCTTTTGATGAAATTTTTTCATCTTTAGCATTATTTTCCATGATTTCATTCGTACTTGAATCATTCAATTTTGGGGTTTCGGATTTATTAGAATCTTCACTTACTGTTTCATTTAATTTCGATTCCTCGGGAGGTTTTGAAGTACCTTTAAAAGATTCATCTAAAATCGCTGGCGCACTTTCAGCTTTGCTATTTTGATTATCAGAAGAAGTTTTATCATCTTGTTTTATTTCAATTGATTCTGAAATGTTTGTATCTTTCAAATTCTTAGAATTTTCTTCGTTTAAAGATAGAGTAACCGACTCATCTATATTTTGATCAGGTTTAGCTATATCGGTTGCTTGTTCTACATTTTTCTCATTAACGCCATCGATATTAGATGAAACACTAGATATATCTTTAACCTTTTCTACATTATGATCTCTCTTCGTGGCTGAATCAGTATTAACTTTTGGTGGCCCTTCATTTGGACGTGGAGGCGTTTCGTTGACTTGCAATGTTGCCTGGTCTTCTCTTCTTTGTTGTTCAGGAATTGGTTGGGCTTGACCGCTTTTCTGCACCAAAGATGCATTGCTGTCTATTGGCTTTGGGGGAACCACGGGTTTTGTGACAGGCTTGGCCGGTACAGATGGTGGGGAGACCGTCTCCACAGGAGTTACTCTCACTGGGGGTTCAACTTTTGAATACTTCGGTCTATCTTGATGTGCACTCTCTATCTGATGATGTTGCACTGGTATTTGAGCAATTGGAACATATTGTGTGACGGGTCCTTGATATTCAGTTTCTTTGGGAGCCATGTTCTTTTCAATCGTTTTGCCAATTAGATGCTTGTGTTCGCTGAGCAATTTGTACAGGTATTCATCAGAATCATCCACTGAAAACATGGTATGGGACATGCCTGTTCCATAGTATACTCCTACTAAGATGCAACATGAATATGAAAATTATGAGTAATATCTGAAAATTTATACCATAAATTTTCGAAGCATTTGAGATATTCATGCATTTTATATTAAGTTACATAATATATTACAACAGCAATTCATGATCATGCATACATCTAATCACCCCAAAATGCTTTCTAAAATATTTCAATTCTTGATTCATGCTATAATACTTTCAATAAGGTAAAGTAGCTATATACATTCTATCTTTTTCAGCCTGACTTACATAACTTTAGGTGACTGATATGAACAGGTTAACATCGGAAATAAGCTACGGTTTAGGAACATTTATATGCTACAAACACAGAAAGGCATCTGTTACTAAACGGGGGGACGTTGCCTTACCCTGTTTTGCCTGAGGAGTCACAGTGGACGACGTCCTGTAAGATAATGCATGTCAGCTTTAATATGATACTAAATTAATGAGAAGGATGAAAGCCTTACCATATTAATTTATCATTAAGAAAGATTACATGATAAAAGCTTAACCGTAATAAATCTAGAAGAAAGATCAAAGGATGAAAGTTTTACTTCATAAATCACTGGTAAAAATTACTGTTAACGGTGAATTAAAAAGAAACAATTTCATCTTTATACAATATCTAAAATCGAGTACTAGTATCTATTCTACTCTTGTGTTGCCTTGAAACAACAGCAACAGCTTTCTACAGATTCTTCTAGTGATTTATCTAACCAAACTAATAAAGAGGCGCACCTGTATCTTTCAATATACATCTAATAAAATAACAAATATTAGTAAGCAATCTACATTTATTAAATTTGCATTTAATTATTTATATAAAAATTAGATCGGTTGAACGTTTTCACTCGAGGACGCTCTTTGGACAGAAGGCACTGTTTATTTAATTTCAACATTCAGACAAGTCATATGAGTACTTATATTTTCATCTTAATGTATTTTTTAATCAACAGAATGTAAACATGCTCTAGAAGTCAAATCCTGACATGAAAGAGGCATCCCATTTCGGATTTATTTTTCGGGAAATATAGCTGATGCCACATTAATCTTGGAGGTTGGGAGTTGTGGACTGCACATTCATTAAAAATGGTGAAATAAATACATCAGGTGTGTAATAATATTGTGACTAAAAATAAGCCGGATCGAAATTCAATTGTTATTGAAAGAGTTAGCTGAAATAACGTTCTAGGTCATGCAGATACTTATCAGGCGGCTATTCTACTCCCATGCTGGTCTGGAGGGGAATAGGAGAAACCAGACCCATACGGACTTACGTATTTTGGCCAGGATAACCAATTTGGGCATTGTAAGTGTCCTGGATATTTTGATTGGAGTACAATCCCATAGGAGAATTGTACTGCAAGTGTACCGCATTAGCGCCCTCTTGCGGCTGTTGCTGTGCCTCATCATTGGGAACAGACCTGACAACAATCTGTTGCTGTGGTGAATGTGCCGGCTTTCTAGGTTGTGGGCTGCGTGAAGGTTTTGGCGAAACTGCTGGCGCTGGTCGCCTTGAGGGCTGCTGCTGTTCTTCACGCATGGATGGCATGACATATTCCTTCTGCTCTTGTTCCCAAGGTTTCGGTCCCCCCGAACTCTTCAGCGTTCCGGACCAGTTTCTCGAGAAACTGCTGGTGTCGGGCTCATCACGAGAAGTAGATTGTACAGACACTTGTACGGGAGCTGCGTTCACGGGTACCTGTGTGACTGGGGGTGGGCGTGGCCTTTGCTGAATAGTGACTGCTGCGGGGGTCGGGCCCTTGGAATAGTCTGTTCCAAACTGAGTTGCTCCCCCTCCTGGTGAGCCATATGACCTCCTTTTGCCAGTTCTACTGACTGTGAGAAAATATATTTTATCATTTGTAATTTACGAAATAACGCAAGGTATTATGATTTTTTTTAAATATTAGCATTATTGAGAATAATAAGTATACTTTTAAATATGAAGTATATTTAAATAATGTTGTTTTTAAATTACTTTCATATGTTTTTATTCATTTAAAATCATTCAAGAAGCATTAATTGAATCCAAACAAAAAGTTAAATTGCAAATGCTTTTATTTAAAAATGAATTTGCAAAAACTACTACGAAATAACTGAATGTACGTAATCAAACAAAAAATCCTATGAAAATATTGGTAGTCAGCAATGCTATAGTCAGAGCGTTAAAATCGCTACAGAATGGTTGAATTAAAAAAAGCTGAAATAAAGAGAGAAATTAAACGCTGTGCAATTGTATTAGAATGTGCCATATTATACAAAAAATATGAGACTAGTTTCTACACTGCTTCTATCAGTTCTATATTAATTTTTTCACCTCTTGGTTGATCTTTCATAAACATTCTCCGCCGCTCCCAAACTGGACAGTTTGGGTAATAATAATCATCGTCCGTCCCGTTAGCATTTACTGAACATGCAAAAAAGACATTTCAGGGAGGAATGACATAGAAAATACGGGTAATCATTGAAACGATAAAAAGGTGAAAAATAAGGAATAGGGGAAAAGTTTTGGAATCAATTATTTTTCGTAGATGATTTATTTGATCACCGCTGAAAGGTCATACAATTCATCAGGAGAAATTGGGAAAAATATGCAAAAACATAATGGGAGTGATGGACTGATGGATAGAGTCTTTAAAAAAATTAACCACTTTATGTAGACGGGAAAAAATTACACTCACTTTGGGGTTTCTTCTCTTCCTTCTCCTTGAACACGTTTCTCCTACGACTGACAGGAACGTACTCGTAGTCCACCTCGTCAGTAACGGGGTCATCAGCACGCACATAGTCGGGCTGGCTCAAACCTGGCGAAATGTACTGTGACGTAGGAGTCGCCGGAGAAAATGTTGCAGAAGACGACTTCTGCGGCTGGTTAAGAGAATAGGGCTGATACTGCGCCTGTTCGGGAGTACGTGGCGACTGTTGTTGCGGTTGGTATTGTTGTTGCGGCGGTGGCTGATATTGTTGCGGCGGTGGCTGATATTGTTGGGGCGGTGGTTGATATTGTTGTTGCGGTGGTGGCTGATATTGTTGCTGAGGTGGTGACTGATATTGTTGTTGAGGCGGACGGTATTGTTGTTGTTGCGGTGGTGGCTTATATTGTTGGTATTGTTGTTGCAGAGGTGATTGCTGTGAGAAAATACATTGCAGAAATTAAGTAAAACAAACCATCATGCCACACACAACCGGTATTTGTGAAATTTTTATGAGGATTTTCAAATTTATGATTTTATTAGCAAATGAAGAGAAATAGAACCAATATGTAAGAACAGACAGAATATAAAGAGAATATAAATAGATGATTATTTTGCTTGTATCCAATTACCGCTCTTCAAATCGTGGAAAACATGAAAGTGTGCAATAGTTGAGTAAGCAAATTGGGTAATTATACATTCCATGCATCGGTTTCTTGTCTGTTCAGTAATAGCTATGCACCTGATTTGCAAGATAAGTGCATTTTCCTCAGAAACTGCTCAGAACGCAAATCTAATTTACCAGTAATTTATCGGAATGAAGGATGCGATTTCACGTTGTCATGTAGTGAGTAGATAATAGATGACATGCGCATTCATCACTATATCCATACGAACACGTTCGTAAATATATTTGTAATCACCTGTTGAGGAGAAGTGCTCTGTTGTTCCTGCATTGTCATTTGTGGCGTGAACTGCTGGGAATAGATCGAAGGTTGAGGGGACCAGCCTGGTTGTTTTGCTTGGGCCCCGAAACTTCTTCCGAAGTTCGTACTTCCTCCACCAAATTTATTCATTGTGATTTTCTTGGGCTGGTGACCGGCAACAGCTGGAGGAGGCATGATTTTAGGACCGTGATCTGAGGAACGTCTGATTGGAATCTGAATCTGGGCAATGGTTTTAATAATGGAAAACGGTTAGAAGTGAAAGTATCAAAGTTGAAAAACATAACGAAAAGATGGACAGTGCTAGGTTAAGACTTGAGGGTCTTGAGTAACATATAAGATACAAAAATAAAGCGAAGTGCCTTCCTTAATTGTGAAATTTCGAATGGTTAATGCATTTTACCAAAATTTGTGCTGGCTTGATGACAAACTTTGTACTTACAGAGGCAGTCTTGTGAGGCAGAGGCGGGGCCTTAGTCGGGCTCTGTGGTTGTAGAGGTTTCACAGAGGCTCCAGAGGGTGGCCTGAAAATACGAAAATAAATCAATACAAATACTTGAAATATTAACGAAAAAATATTTTTTTAATTAAAATTCATGACAAAACAACGATTACCAGAATCCTTAATTTAAAAAAATGAACAAATACCAGTTGAAGATAAAACAGAAATATGAGAAGCTCTAGAAATAAACTTGCCGTTAAGACGAGTGAATCATAACGCGGAGGTAGGAAAAGTGAAAAATGTGTAGGTAGTAGGTAAGGGAAATAGGGCCTTGTAATAAAACACATATGAAGCTACACAGAGCTCCCGAAATAGAAGATAATTTTAGCTGTTTTGTTTCCGATCTCCCACTTGTGTCTTTGAGAGTGTGCACATAGAGCAATTATTGTGGAGATAATGATATTATTTGACATTATCAATTATCTGTACATGTATGTGTACATGGAGGATAGTGAACTTCTGTATATTCTCTACATGAATATGAATTGAAGTGTTTCATTATTAGCACAGTGATGTAAATCTTGGCATTAAGAATCAAGAAGCAGATGAATATGCAATGCAGATAATACATATTACAAGGTGTAAGTCAATCAAAATAAATTGCACACACAAATAACATCATGTTTGTAAATTGTTTCCAACATCTGCATCGCAATCTAGTATTAATTAATAGTAGACTTTTTTTTCCTTTGACAGATCGCATGTATTTCAACAATTAATGGGTAAAAAGAACGCAGTAGCAAACTGTATTTTTATAAATTTGACGCCTAACCTGCTGACGAGAAGTTCGACCTGTCCTCCGCCAAATTTGATGCTGTCCTGTGCCTGCTTATGCGTCAGCGTCGTTGTGTCACGGCCGTTGATGGCTAATATGACGTCACCCCTCTGGAGTTCCCCTTCTGCAGGACTGTTCGAAAATACCTGCCACAAACATAGATCTGTTTTATTAAAAAAAAAACCTTTTCTGTGAAAATCGGAAAATATGTAGAACTGTTTTATCTCTAAATAACTTTCAGGAGATCGGTCTGCTGAAAATACACTGGCAGAATTATATATCAAGGTTCTATCTTGGCGAATTTTCAGGCGTTTCAACTCGTGAAAAACGTGGCTCAATAAATGTCTTCCTAATTCCCAGTTACGGGGAGTTTTTGATGATATCGGTAGAAGTACTAGATAATGTTTATTTATTATGTAAGAATATTATCACGTACAATGTTTCCTCTTTAAACAGAGAAACAGCTAAAATTTGAGCAATTATTTTGTTGTTAATAACTTTGGGCCAGAAAAATATAAATAGCAAGGGTTTTCATTTCATTTCTTGAAACAGAATCAAAATTAATATCTTTTCAAGACATTGTACAAACTTCTCTCTTACTCACATAAAAGTCATTGCTAATTTCTGAATATAATTTTACGTATACGGGAAAGTAAGTTCAAGGTTATGTAGATTGTTGGCTGGTTCTTCAACTACTGGTTTACTTCCAACAACAATTTGACCTTCATCCTTTGAAGTCTGGTTAACGACCTATGACCTTGCCGGATCTCGTTGCAATGAAAATCTTCTCAAAACTATATAGCACATTCCAAATGAATACAGATAAACGAAAACGACAGAAGCTGACAGTTTCAAATTCTAACAGTGAATGTCCATTCACCTATTTTCTTCAGCATCCTAATTTGTCTGGTGATAAGCTTGTAATATCAGCTTGAAAGGGGTCTTTATAATCAGAATGATGAGAGTTCTCATCAAAATATTCTGATGACTTGTAATACAATTATTTTGAAATTATGAGAAGAAAATTTTAATTTACAGGAATGAAAGAGATGAAAGCAAATTCAATGAAACCAAGATAACAGTACCCCCTACCGTAATATCCAACGGCTCAGACCCCGCCCTTCGAGGTAAAATCCGAATTGTGGTGGAGGCCATTTTTTATAAACCTTGGAGACAAATGAAATATTCTGGAAGGGCAGTAATATGAAAAGAAAATGGTGGCTCGGAACACTGACAATGAGCAAAAATAAAAGCTTGATAAAGGCAGAGAAATGGCAAAATGTAAATTACATCTGACAGCTACACTACCGATGATGGTGCCAGAATCGTCTCAACTCATATGTATGTATCCAATATGCGTCTTGTAAACAATGGAACCGGCGATCAAGGCCGGTAATGTGTTGGTTGAAAGGCAAAGGTCCGGGGTAGAGGAATTTAGTAATTTCCTGCAGTGTGCTTGGACATAAGAACCATCTGTTGATCTTACTTAACGGAATGCTGCTTTGTGTAGGTTGTATTATTGTAGTGCAGAAAGTCATACTGCAAGGTCAATTGTACATCAATGTGGAAGATTTACATAGATAACCACAGAGCAATAGTTTTACTTACAAAGGATTTAGGTACTCCATGTTAGTTGGTCTGAAGGTTAGGTATTGCTTATAATGAAGATATCTTTGTAAAATAATGGGATCGGGGTACAGGTTGAATAGTGGTATGCTGAAAAACATGACCAGTACAAAATGATTCGTCAGAGGGATTTGAACTAGGCTTTTTGGACGGTGTGGTTACCATTTAAGAGTCACTGTGTCGAGAGTATTATTTTACGCGATCGGAACTATTTATAACATCAAAATACATTTTTAACCTGATTAAGTTACTGCTGATAGACTTATCATTAAACTGACAAACGTATCAATCAATTCCCTCTCTCTCTCTCTGTTCAAAAAAGAAGAAGAAAATGTTTAATTTTCAGTTCAGGCGGATTGATGCAAGGAGATAAAATACCTTTCATCTGAATCACTATTTTTTTTAGTTGGAGTAAAGAATGTTGAAAAAAGTAACAATAATTAAGATAACGTTCTCGTTTGAAGACGAGTATTCAAAGCATCCAGACATCATGTGTTACATGAAATACCCTTAATCCTACATGAACATTTACTATCAAATTTAAATCATCGCTGCAGTCAGTCAGCGTCTTTTCATTATCTTTTTTTTTCCTCAGGAAAGGAGCATTTTTTGATAATGGTAGTAGCCTGTAATCCTTTTCTATC